TCCTCTCTCTCTCTCTCTCTCTCTCTCTCTCTCTCTCTCTCGGCGACGCGTCTCCGAGAACGCGCGCGTGGCTTCTCGCCATTATAAGTAAATTGGCTCTCTCTATATTTAACCGCCAGCATGTAAACACAATCAGACGGCCATTCGAGAAATTAGCTCTGATCTGTCAAAACCGCTGGTCCCGTCGCCAAAATCGTCCTCTTGTTCAATCTGGCAGAGGCACCGACAAAATTCTCAGCCCATTTCAATGACGTTTTCAAAAGGATCTCTCCTGTCCTTTTTTTACGTCTTTTGTTCGAGACCCGTGAACATTTTTTCTTTCATGTGGCCACAGAAATTCATTAAATTGCTCTCATCTTCTTTTTCTTTGTTCTTCTTTCTTTTTTTATGTTCTCCAATTTCTTTTAGACAACAAAAAATAAATTTGGTTCGCCAAAGATTGATACGCGATCTTGACGTTTCCCTTATTTGCCTCTAATGTAAAGGGATTCCTTTCGTCAATATTTTACGATGAAATATCGACCTAACTTGCGGGGGAGATCCTGCTGCTAATTATCAAGATCCCATTCTTCACATCTTTTTGCCCCTTTCAACTTGTGCTATGTATCTTGTTAAAGAAACCTTTTGTTATTGACAAATTGTAAACTTTAATTAATTTAATCGGTACACATTTCAATCCCTTAAAAAAACAGTGGCTCCATTATGTCCTTTTTGATCTCGGTTGATTAAGACTTTTCTTCTTTTCATCCCTACCTGACTTCGCATGTTTGATGGCCTGGTTCTTTGATAATAAAATAACCTTTTCGGGCTGTCTGTGACAAGAAAGAGCGGAGAAAATGTTTTATAATTCTTTTTTGTTGCCTTGTCTAATCTCAGTCAAACAGTAGGTAAATTATTGGAAAATTGTCGGTTAAAGAAGACCGTTGCTTGAACGATCAAGATAGACTTTTTACGACAATGAGGAAATATTCCTCTTGCTTATATATTCACGTGCGTTTAAAAATATATGCATTGTTGTCATAACATTTACATTGGCAAGCACATTATCGAATAATCTATGGTAAACTATAATATTTCATAAAATTTGCGCACAATGCGATGTGTTTAGCTTATGGCTTAGAGATTTTTTTTCCTTTTTTCCATTTTAAGTCTGACGTGTCGTCTAAAAAAAGTTACGCCATGACATGGAAATGCTATGAAATTGTTTATCGCGAGGCAGCCAAATATATGCTTATGTGCTTGACTATATACACGCTTGACTATGAAAATATTATTTGTTTATAACTTCACTGAGAAAACATCGTTCATTTTATTACCGTAACATCTTACATTTCCTTTCCCCATATATAATTTGTTTTTATTTTTAGATTACGAATGATACTGAAATACGATATTAAAATTTCTTCCATTATTGAATATTTAATTAACAACCCATATTATTAATATCAGTACGCGTAATTACAGATTCTACTGTTATTAATTTAATTAAGCCAATTAGATTAAGTACTCGACTTTCATAAATTTTAATATTATTATTTCGCGCGCATGCGTACCGCCTTATTAAAATAAAAGAAGTAAACGAGGGAAAAAATTGAATGTGACAATCACGTGAAATATAATCGAGCACTATTGTCACTGTCGTCAGCGCGGTATCATAATGCGGTGTAATATTACATCGTGGATCGGCGCCAACGATTAAGGTCCAGCGTATCTCGACGGTTTTAATATCGCAGCCGATTATTAATTCAACAACAGAAACGATGTGCCGCCACCTGTTAAAATACGCACGAACTCGTTGAGGAACCTTTTTTTTGCATCGCTTCTCTCGCCGTATCTCCTGCACGCCTAAATCTTTCCGCTTTTTCGGCTTATGCTTGACATTTAATTTTAAATGCTACTTAGATGCCATTATGGATGGCGCTATTTATTATTCAACAATCACATTTGATATTTTCACATTTTTTGACAAACGGCTTACATACAAATAAAAGAAATCGTGAAAAGATTTACGTCACTCCTTGAAGTCTTCTAACTCTCATATTTGAATAATAAAATGCAATAAATCAAAGGCAATAGATAAACATGTACCGATGATGGGACGAAACGGGAATTTCCTTTGAGTTCCAAATTTTTAAATTTGATATGCCGTGTATATTTACTTTTTAGAAAACTGCTTATGAATAATCACAGCCGGAGACGTCCAAGCCGGAATTTTTTAAAATTTATATTAAGAGAAGTATAATATATAATATATAAATGTACCTTTATTTAAATAAATTTCAAAAAAATTATAGTAACAATGATACAATGATGTAATCCGAGGGACAAAGTTATGAACATATTTTACAATAAGTTCCGACTATATCATTTTTGTTTAATTTTCCGTTATATTTCGTTCGTTATATTTGAATATTTAGATCACATATAATAGATAGATAGAGAAAACATCCGAATTGTTATTTTTCTCCGAGAAAATACAGATGACCAAATAGTCACGCTGTTACGCGAAACACGATTGAATCGTCTCGGCTGCGAGCGCGAATCCTGTTCTCGGCGAGGACGAAAAAAAACGCGAAGCCGGCCACGTTGTCGTCTTCGTTGTCGAATCGTCTTCGCGAGTGGACGATATCGCCGGAGCCGGTTCCACCGACGTTGACTTCCCGGAGACAAACCTGCATGAATATTATCCAATCGGCCGCGAATGTCGCCATTAAAGTCGCGACTTTTAGTCACCGAGCCCCCCGAGGTGTAAATTCACGAGACGGATTTTCTCCGGTTTATTATCCTTCGCGCGACACATAATCATAATCTTACTAAATTATCGTCAGTGAACGTTAAAATGTTTAAACATGAAATATCTGCGTAATAATATCTGCGTTATTATAAAATATCTGCGTTATTTAAAAAAATTTGTAAAGAATTTTATTTTATTTTTTTGTTTAATAAATTTTTTGTTTAATAACTGAAGTATTGTATTGGCATTCATTTTTTGATTACGCAGAAATGCTGAATTTTTATTATTATAATTTATAAATTATGTATTACGTACGTAATATTTAATATAAAAGTTTTATTTTAATTTTTATATAATTGAATTTTAAGCGATTATAAATTACGTCATATTGGATAAGCATCACGGGCTTAATGTAGCAATCGCGGAAGTTTTTGAGTAAATCAAAATTTGTATCCCAAAGGGAAAATTCCATACTACCATTGAAGCCCCATGAAATATTTACGAAAGGTCAAAGGTAAAGCACGACGATAGTTTTCTGAACTTTAGTCCCGTGCATTTGAACAGTGAAGCAGAGCGTGTTATCGGCTTGTAAATTTACGATGTAAACGTCGAATTGAATAGAGTCCTGTGTCTTTGTAAATTACAAGCGTTATAATTTATATTTATTTAACTAAATGTTTGTCAGAAATTTTTCTACATTTCAATTTTTATTTCAAAAATTGAAATTTTCCAAGAAATATATATTTCCCAAGAAAATTTATTACAGTTTACATGTATTTTGTTTACATTACGTATATTAACTTGTAATGTCGTTACGCTGTGTAAATATTAATCATTCTTGTCTATTCTTTTTTTCTATATCGTCGTCTGATGATCTTTCAAATTCGTTCAGATTGTTGATTTTTTGAAAGTGAGTCACACAAAGCAGCAAAAAGTTGGCGACTAGTTTCTATTGTAACGGATGGTATTTCCCAAGATTTTTCAAGATAGCGGCTTATTTTACTTGTGTGCTCGTTCGAATAGACTTTTATGTATCCTATACATCGTTTCTGAGTCAACATCTACATACTTGAAAAAAGTATACTACAGAAAAAATTCGTGTTCAATAGTATTGATATCTTTCAAATCCACACACATTGATATCTTTCCAAAATATATATATTATATAGTTATATTTTTTTCAGATTCCGTTGAATCTTGTCTTCATGATAAAACTTTTTGATTTTAAATATCAAGAGTAGTAAAAAAATCATCTTTTTGAAAGATACCACGTGACCTTGAATCCTTCTAAATTATTTCAGCCGAAAAAGTAGTGTCGTAAAATCGTAAAATCGTCTACAAGGAATCTTTTTTTTTTTTTAATATTTTATTTCTAATTTCTATTTTATTTCGTAATTATTTCTGCTATCTATCAGATAATATTGAGCAAATATTATGTGATAGATAAGATACTCGATTT